CCAAGTGAAAACGACTAAGAACAAACTGTACTTACGTGAGATGACTTCTGAACAAGTAACTGCATGCACCCTATTAAGAACAAACTGTACTTACGTGAGATGACTTCTGAACAAGTAACTGCATGCACCCTATTAAGAACAAACTGTACTTACGTGAGATGACTTCTGAACAAGTAACTGCATGCACCCTATTTTTGATAAAAATACACTTATTCTGGAAGCTTTTCGAGAGGACTCCATCTGTAAAAACAATAATGCCACCACAAAGAGACAGAATGTGTGTTGGCATAGTTTCTATTTCTAATCAGGAAATAAGTGGTAAAGAAAAAATGAAGCATTCAGTTCAGGCAAACAAAAAGTGGATAAATTTCAAATCGTATACTTTATTGAGGTAGTGCCAAACGGATTTAAATGAAAATACATACATTTCTAATCAGAATTCTTCTTCAACATATTTACATTTCATGCACTACTGTGATTTCTTCATGCTTTATAATAACTGGTTTCATGATTGGACTAGACATAACGTAACAATCTTCCTATGTGGTGCTCTTAATGAACAATTCATTCAAAACAGCATCAACAATTTAACTAATAAAAATAAACAAAATAATGCAAGCAAATAATTTGATTCAACAGAGCTTAAGATGGTGACTTCTATCAACAAATATTACAGCAACACCCACATAAAGTAAACAACATGCAAGAACTTCTGAGTTTAAATGCTTGAATATCAAAACTTAACTGGTTGAAACACTTAGCACGGTCTCCTCTACATTCAATACATATTTAACGTTTACGTGGTAACCATGAATGTGCTTATAAATGTCTTTATGTACATTATATTTTTTATGTAACTTTATATCGGTATAATGTATAATTTTTGTGTCATACACGGACGTGCAATAAATACGTTCATAAGTTGCATATTTTAGTATTAAACATCAAGAGTGAACCTGAACAGGGCCTGTTTTGATACCAATAAGAAACGTATTAAAATTATATAAGTAATTACTTTTTTATATTATCATAAGATGTATGAAGAAGCGAATAACAGTTCTTTAAAGCAAGAATTATTGTTGTTTCCAACAAAGCACAGGCAGGTTAACAGTTTGTAAAGCAAGGTTGATTGTAGTTTCCAACAAAGCACAGATATGTCGTTAGTATTTCTTAAAACAAGGATCATTGTTGTTTCCAACAAAGCACAGACAGGTTAACAGTTTGTAAAGCAAGGATCATTGTAGTTTCCAACAAAGCACAGATATGTCGTTAATATTTCTTAAAACAAGGATCATTGTTGTTTCCAACAAAGCACAGGCAGGTTAACAGTTTGTAAAGCAAGGATCATTGTAGTTTCCAACAAAGCATACGCAAATGTTTAATGTTTTTAAAGCAAGGATATTTGTTGTTTCTCACAAAGCACAAGCAGATCTTTAACAGTTCTTAACGCAAGGATATTATTTTCAACAAAGCATACGTAAACGTTTAACGCTTTTTAAAGCAAGGATCTTTGTTGTTTCCAACACTGTTCTGAATTTTATCGCTAACATTTTCTCCTATATGAAACGCAAAAATTTTAATATTAGGATTATTTAATATAATTACGATTAGGGCCCCACTGTTCTATTACTAGGTTGAGTCAAGATTTAGTATCAGAGGTTTCAAAAGAGGTAGAGTTCTGTACTAATTCTAATATATTAAATTAACTTTCTTTTTTCTAAGTAACATTCAAAACATGCCAAGGTAGCAGTAAAATGGGTTTTACCAAATTAAATGCATTAGTTTCACACTTTCCTTTTTAAGGTTGGAAGGGTGATATTGCCATGTTAATAATCCCTTTCATTTTATTATCAGCTAAGTTTGGTAGCATTGCTGTAATATTCAGCATAGTTACTAAACATCTGAAGTTAGTTACCAATTCAAAAATATCCTGTAATTATAACTGTGCTTATGATCACGTTTATACATTAAATCATCAGCTCAATATCTCTCCTGACCCAATACCATCCTCCATCCCATGGCTCAGCGGTAAGCCTTATTACGCTAAAATCCGGAGTTCGATCGCTGCAGTGAGTACAGCAAAGACACTTCTTTATGCAGCTTAGCGCTAAACGAAACGAATTGACCCAATACCTTAACAACAGCGTAAATATGCATCTCAAAATTTAAAATTAAAGATGTGTCAGATCCAAAAGCAGACGGGAATTGTGTATTGAACGTAAAAAAAAGGTTTATAAATCTACAAATATTAAATATTTCGAGCTTTCTTCCCCATTTACCGCGACTAACAGACATAAAACCGTTAAAACCTTCTGAAGTCAGCGATCGCGGCTGGTCCCCCTCTGGCAAAGCTAAAAACGCGACCGTCTGTTATTACATATGGTTGAGATGTGGTGGTGGTCAATAATCGATATTAGATATTTCTACAAGCCTAAATTCAGTGCGTAATTCGCACTGGATATGTAACCCAAAATTTCACACAATACGATAAAAGGAGGTTTTATCAGAAACGGAATACAAAATAGCTTTGATAGTCAAAATAAGTTTATCTATAGAGCAAGGGCCCAAATTACGTGTGGCAAATTTAGATGTGGAGGGTGACTCATTTATTTACTTATTTTGAAGGCCCTCCTCCCCTTCCCGAACACCCACTGCAGCTTCGTTTTAGTGTTTTCCACGTGCCGACCACCCCAGCAGACAGTACTGTTTATCCGATCACCAGCTGTGGCTTTAACAAACAACCCTCCACCTCTATCCACCCTATTATAAACTTCATTTTCAAAGTTTTCGAGGCCTCATCAGTAGTCCCCCCTGCTTTTCTGAATGCACTTATCAGAAACTAGCAGAAATTAGTTCGCTCAAGTAAATATACCCGTACGGCATATGCCTGTTCACGGTCATGAGCTGAATGTTTCGATGTCATGTTTATGTATGTACATGTGGATTACGACGCTGTACACGCATGCGCGTTGTGATGCTGTAGTTATTTTGAACAGCACGCTTTACTCCGTAAAAAGCGCCGATACAATGTTACCCGTTCCCTCTAACTGTCGAATAATTTTATGAGAATATACATGTACACAACACAATAACTAAGTTATGTTATATACTTAACTCTGATCGATATTATTTAACAAAAAATAAAGAAAATGTACTATTCTGACAATGTTTTATTAACGTCATGTGGTAAAACAACTGAAACTGGTATGTATGTACCAAGCAAGCTAACTGTACAGGAAAATTTGTTAAGGCCCAAGACTAGATATGTGCGATCAGATGTTACAAGCAAACCATGTAATGCGATAAGAAACCTTTACAAAAATGAGAGGAGAACGTGCTTAGTGTAAACTATGTATATATATAATGAACTCGTTATCATAATCGTCCTTGCTGGACATTTACGTTCATACTGTAAACTGGAACAGACATACAGACTAAGAAGTTTAAGAACACTCAATTACTCAACCAAAAAGAAATGTAATTATAGCCTGACTTTTAAGAAATTAAAGAATTTTGATAACGCAATAGACCTAAAATAAAGATGTTTCCATTTTTGAACTCAGAAAAAAAAATTGATGATATATATATATATATATATATATAATAATTAGTAAATTAACGTTTTGGGTCGTAGAACTAAAAAAATAAAAATTAAAGTTTACGGTAAAGAAGCGACAA